AAATAGAAAGAGTTCTTTGGTCTCCAAACTGAAAATGCGTTTTAACACCACTTACAGAGAACTCTGTGCCGCTGAGTGAGTCTGTGAAGATCACCATAGAATGCTGAATTCCATTGTGAAAGCAAACTGGTGATCACTGAGAAAGGTAGATCTGAATCAGTTTTCCCAACATAACATGCAAAGTTCTAAGTCAGGAAATTTCTCATAGACTAACACATAGGTTCCAGTGCCTTTTAGAGCTGGCTTGGTTTGATAGTTGGAAACCCACACACGTTCTCATCAAAAAGATTTCAGATGGGGATCTTTAATGAATGTTCTAGTTTTTAAAAGGCAGGGCAGTCACAGTGACCTGTGAGAAAAAGCAAGTGCTCTTAGATGTGGTATAAATAGCCTGACAAATGAAAGGCTTCATTTTAACTCGGTTCTCAGCCACATGTACAGCAAATGGACACAGACTCCTAAGGATGCAAGATTTTATGGAAAGAATATCCTAGTTTCCCTGCACCTTGGCTTCAACTGGGAACCACATGCATGTTTAATTATTTACAGAATCACCTACCTTTTATTGGAGGGGGCTTTAGAAGACAAACGAGGTTGATCGATGTTTCAGAGGTAGCAGGAGGTCTAGGAAAATTCAAGCAGCACAGAAAACAGAGTATATAAGGGTTTTGGGGATATGTATCTGCTTTAAAGGGAATGAGTCATCTTGAAAGGGCTCTATGAAGGCTTAAAGGGTAATTGGAATGATTGTCTTGTCTTAAAGTTTGAAATCGTTGGGATTTATTGGTTGTTTGTTAAGCACCAGAGGTCGGAGAGACCTTTTCCTTATGTCAGAATTAAGCCACACTCCCACAATTTTTTCACTATAACCTCATGAATTCTTAGTCCTATCTTCATTTCCTTCTGACCATTGCATTGCAGCCATCACGACGAAGAATCTTCTAACACCTTCTACTCCGGTTGGCTCATGGTATGTGTGGGAATAAGGATTCTCTTCAGTCCCTTCAGAGGTCAATTGCTTCTCAGCCTAGTAGATATCCTGACTTGGAGAGGGATAAAATTACCATTCCATATTCCCTGGGCCCCACTGATGCTTGAAGAAACTAAGGCCTCAATGAGGATGATGGTTCATGCAGTAGACTCAAGTTCTGGTTGGAGCCCCTGCTCTCTATGACTCACTATTCTGTGACTGGGCTAGGAATGGGATAGCATCTCTATCAAGCAAAAACATTTTCTGTGCTGGTGGCTATGATTACTTTCCTCAGTGAGATTACTTTAATCTTTATCTTCTTCTAAATGTGTCTGGAGTTTCCCATGAAACTTATTGCAATCATCTTTAACTCAATCTTCTGTATATTTAGAATGACAGGATAATGTGCAGGATAATTTAGGCTCCATTAGCATGTTAGGCATACCTCTATTATAGTACTTATCACATTGTGCTGTAATTTTTTGTTTAGATATCTGTCTCTGTCGCTTGACGGTGAGTTCCTCAAGGGCTTAGGCTATATATCTTACTCATCTTAGTATTCTGCCTCCTCCCAAGAACCCAGCAGCTGACATTTTGAATATAGCAGGTTTTTAATGAATAAGCACAGTAGCCAAGTATGATTGGTATGCACATTCATTTATTAAATAGATATTTGTTAAGTTCTACTATGTGCCCAGCACTATGCTAAGCTCTAGGAATCCAAACACATCATCACTGAACTCAGGGAGGTAATGGCACATAAAAAAAAAAAAAAAGACTGTTGGTATTTTTCCAAAATTCATGTGTTGAATTCTTAGCCTTCAGTGTGATATTTATTATTAGGAGGTAGGGACTTTGGGGTGTGATTAGATCAAAGGGGAACACCCCCTGCCATGAATGAGATTAGTGCCCTTACAAAAGAGGTCTTAGAGATCCTGCACCGCTTTTGAAATGTGAGGGTGCAGCACCCTGAATGAATGAAGACACTAATCATGTGGTAATTTGAAGAGACATATAGAGTGTTAAAGAAAGTTATAGGGGCTATTAATATGGCCTATTGCACAGAGGTTCAGGGAAATGTTCCTAGAGGAGGAAACTTCTGCTGGGTTGAATTTTAGAAACTGGTTATGAGATAGCCAATCAAAGCATGTTGAGAGGAGGTCATCAGGTGGAGGACATAGTAGGAGGAAAGGCATTGGGATATGACATAGCCAGCTGTGTGTGGGGGGGAAATTCTGTCAATTGGATGATGTTGGAAGAATATCAAGTGTGAGGCCAAGAGATGAATCTGGAGAGAGTATCAAAAAGCCAGGTGGGACTAGGCAGTTTATTAAAAGTTATGAAGTTGAACGTTATCCTGTAGGTGATATTGACTCAATAAAGGGACTTATGCTGAGGAGGGATGTGGTAAGAACAATGTTTCAGATAGAATCATTTCCTGACCTTGTGAGAACAGAGTTAGGGGATAGGACTAGAACAAGGAAAACCATGCTTTGCTACTGAAAGAAATGAAAAAACTTGAACAAGGGCAGTTTTAGAAGGGAGAGACTGACTTGAGTTTGATTTGGGAGACAAACTTGATATGATCTGGTGGTTAACTGGTTTAGGGAATAATAGAGAGAGAAGAAACCATGAATTTTCCCAGGTAGATAATGGGACTATGCTTACAGGACAGAGAAGAGGGACAAAAGTTCAAGTTTGTGGCCAAGTAACAATTTCATTTTACATATGTTGATTTTGAGGCGTGTCTGAATCATCCATTCCAATAAGTAATCAATGATATATTTGAAGCTTGATGGGGAAGGGGAGAGGGTCAGAACTAAAAGTTTAAAATTTGTGGTCATAAACTGGAAAGAACGTGAATAGAAACCATGATAGTGGACAAAATCAACAGGGTAACATGAACAGTGAGCAGGATCAGCTCCTTGGGAAACACATAAGGAGATGGTGGAGGAAAGGGAACTCACAAAATGAAATGATAAGGTTGGTCATAACATGTTGGGAATGCTGGAAAGACGAGTCCTGTTCCCACATGACTTCCTTGGGTTCAATTTTCTTAAATGCCTTGCTATCCCAGGTGTGGTTCTGTTACTGCCTCTGACAAGTCCCCTGCGCTTGTCCTTCACAGAAACTATGATAATTATAATTTAATTCCTGAGGTTTAAAGGGTAAGTGGAATGAATGTCTTGTCGTAAAGGTTAAAATGATTGGGACTTTAAGTTAGTTGTCTATTTAGCATCAGCAGCAGGATTGTTCTCTTCCTTGTGCCAGAATGAAGCCATGTTTATGACAACATCATACAGTGTCTATCTCCCCTGCCAGGATATAAGCTCTGTGAAGGTAGGGATTGGCTATCCGTTATTGATTATCCCTTAATCCAGAGTCTAGCAAATACCTGGCAGTTAGTAGTTTTCCAATAAATATTTGTGAAATTAAGGAATACTGCCCCAAACTACCACAGTATAGTAAGTTTCCAAGAATTTCCCTTTTAAAAATCAAGTTGTTTATATAATGTTGAAATCAATATGTAAAATATGCTTATTTTGTATTTGTAATATTTTAATGCAAAAAAAAATAACTGTCATTTTTGCTTTTAACCCAGTAAATAATTCTCTCCCACCTCTCCTGGATATGATACAAGTCCTCCAAATGCTTGGAGAGTGGAGAAAGGCAAGCTAATAATAGATTAGTATGCATTAATTTGCAATATTGTATAACGACACAATCATTGTTCCCCAAAGCACAACCTGGCTTCAGAGTGTGGGGCAGATGGCCAGAGTGCATCATGAAAACTTATCTGGTTATTCAACGAGCAGTGCAGATTATTATATAAATTTGATCATAAAATAGAATTTCCTCTAGGCAACACTTTTACAGAAATTTTTATAGGAAGATATATTGAATTACATATTTTTATATATAAATCCTTATATGCATATGATCTAAGTTATCATTGATTAAAATGATAAAAATTGGTCTCCAAAGTCAATTATTCATTGACCTTTTACAAATAAATTTAAATGATTGTGCATGCGTGTGGCATTATCTCTGGACACTGGTGTCACATAACAGAAAAAAAATGCAGACATTAGAAAGTGAATCTCAAGGTTTGGGCACAAACACTTCAGATATTTGGGTCTTTACCTTCCTTTCCTGAAAGCTTTGACCCCTTAGCCATCTGCAGACCTAAGCTCAGATTTATTTGTATAAAGTAATTAAATTACCTCTCTCCATGCCTTAAACATGCCCACAATTTCTCTTGGTTTATCAGTCTGCTCCTCATTCCCTCAAGAGGTATTATTGCAACTTCCTTGTTCTGCCTGAATGAAAAGGTAAGAAAATCTACAAATATGGGTACTGTGAAAATTCCTGAGGAGACATAGCATAGTAACTTATATATGCACCAAGTTTTAAACCTTACCTGATCCTTACCTAAGACAATTTTCTGATGGGAGAGACAGGAATAACGGGCTCAGCAGGGAACATAGAAATATTACAAAGAAGTTGGAGGGTGTGGAGAGCAAATATTTCTTCTTTGTGGTCAAACACACTGATTATAGACTTTAACTCTGTTTTTTTAGTTGTTGACTGAATCCTTTCAGCAGCCTGGACTTAAGTTTCCATGTGAAAATGAGGATAATAATAGTACTTACCTCATAGTTGTGCTTAGGAGTGCTAAATGAGCTAGTATGTGCAAAACAGTTGGAACAATGCCTGTCACACAGTAAGTGCTGTGAAAGTAAAAGCTGCTTATTTGCTGTTTTAACCTAGGCATTGCAGTTGTGTACAGAGTTTCGTGACCCATTTGATGTTTGAAGTCCGATGGCTCTTAGGATTTGTTTTTGTTTTGTCTTCTAAGCATAGCCTGTGTTTTGTTTTTTTTTTCCCTTCCAGAATGTAGAAGCCCTGGTTAAATTGTCAAACAGCACCAACTATAGACTTACATAACTGCATTGGGAGAAAGTCCCTTTGGGATTTGCCCAGAACCCTCTGAGTCTGTTGCCCAGGGAAACAAACTAGTGATGTCACAAGGTATCACACTTCCACCTCTCTCTCAGACACCTTCTGTTGAGTCTGAGGCAGGGCCCAGTTCCACAAACTCTTCCTGGCCTTAAGTAACCCTCCAAGGCAATGCAGAGACCCTCACTCTCTTCTAGCAATGTCTAAACTGAGGTATGTTGGAACTGTGATCACACACCTCTTTCTATACTTTTCCCTTCCACAGAACAGGAATGCCTGTGCAAATGGAGTGTCAGGGAAAGTCCTGAGTAACCCTTATTTCTCTAGAGAGTAGGTACAGAACTAAATTTAAAAAAAAAAAAGAAAGAAAAAAGAAAATCCCTTGTGGCCACTCCCTCTAGGATGAAAGGCTTTAGCGACCAGAGAAGCAAGATTACAACACCCCTTTCCTTTCTCTTTACCTTTCTCCATGCCTTAAACATGCCCACAATTTTTCTTTGTTTATCAGTCTGCTCCTCATTCCCTCAAGAGGTATTATTGCAACTTCCTTGTTCTGCCTGAATGAAAAGGTAAGAAAAGAGAATATAGCTTCAAGGGCTATTATTTATTGGCATTTCTTGATAAGATGACATGCCCCACCCTGGTCAAATAGTACAAAGTGTAGCTCTTGCATTGCTCCCTGCCTCCGTGTAAAGTCTAAAGGTGTAAATGAAAGCAAATCTGCAGATTACCTATTATTATCTAAATGAAGTCCTCTGAAAATTAGCAATAATCCTCTTAAGTTTTTCAGGAAAAGACCCTATAAGAACAGCAATTCAATTCAGCTGTGTTGGAATTCTCACGCCCAGAGGGGTGTGTTTTTCAATCTCAGGTCTGCCGCAGGGCTCTAGCTGGGATCAGCAGGACGCCAGCCAGAAGCTGCTCCAGATTTTTGCTGTTCCCTGGTCACAGCCAGCCATGACGAAGGCTTCTACATGCATATACCACTGCCTTGTCTTAAGTTGGTATGTTTTCCTCAACCATTACATCTCAATACAAGCAGAGGATCCAAAGAAATTAGGAATCTTTGCACATGGTGGACAATGGAAGTACTTGACCTTCCTTAATCTGGTAAGTCTATAAGAACTCGCCATGTAACAATATTTGTCTTACATTGTGGGGAGAAGATCAGGGGGAGGTGGAGGTCCAGGGGTGAAAGAATTCGCCAGAGACAGAGTGGAGAACAGAACAGGCACATTTATTGAGATACACTGCTAAAAGGCACAGCAGGAGAGAAGGGGGAAGTCTGCCCTACGGAGGATTTGAGGCTCTCTTTGATACTCTATTTTTGAGGTCTCTGGTAGTAGCTTATGTCACAGAAACATGTCCTGGTCTCTGCTTTTGCGTTCCTAGGCCTTGTTCTAGAGGCAACTTTATCCGTTCTCTTATCACTTCCAGCCTCCCACACCTGCCGGCTCATCCAGGAGTGGGGGCTTAGTTTTTAACCTTACTAAATTGTACCCCGACATCTTATGAGTGTTTTCTACACATATCACCTTTGGCTCTTATAAAATACACACTTATTTGTCTTTTTCTTTTTTCCTATTCATTGCTTGTGAATTTCGGCTTTTCTTTACTTTTTGATTTCCTCTGAGAAACCCAATCTGAAATTATCTGAAGCTACATTCTGTGCTGGCTAATTGTTAAACACTCTGAAATGAATCTTATCCTGGAGCTCTTCTCAGATGAGCCCAAATGGGGGAGTAAATTAATGATTTACTATCTCAAAAGCAGGAGGGATTTTGAACTTTGCTTAGGGAAGTCTGTGCGGAAGGCAGAGCTGCGTATGTTGCGTAGGAAGTGCAATTTCCAGTGGAGGAATAATGCCATTTTACAGCACACACAGACTAACAGATTTATCTAAGAAAAGCAAACACATTTTGCCGTGTTCAGATCCCACTTCAATTTTTATAGGCTCAGGCTCATCTTAAAGGACAAATCTCTCAACACAATAAGAAATTGCAACTATTTAAAAACCAATCATATGCCTTGATCCCTTCTCTTCCCAGTTCAGCTGACCATATTCTGATCAATGAATGAAGTGTGACAAAATGAGAGAAAAACAGAGTTTCTAAAAATACTTTGGGAGAAACTGAAAATGGTACATCCTTTGGTTAAGCTAATTATTGCTTGACCTTTTTAACTAAAACATAGAGTCTCTTATAAATATCTGATTTTAGAAACTGAACAAAATATTTCAATCCTCTGGAATAATTATTCTATGTAGAGGCTATGTAGAGTCTTTTAAAAAAAAGACTCTCTGAAATGAATGGAGAGGAAACTGAAAGATTTCAAATCAAAAAGACCAGAGGTTCTATTTCCTCCTCTCTGGTCATTTGCTGGACTTTGATTTTGACTTGAAAGATTTGAGCCCTGAACCAGCCCAAAAAGACAACGAAACATGATTTTGTGGAACTGGAGTAATTCAGCAAAAATCTCACTGTCTGTATCTATGGACTTTATGTAAAAAATTTTCAACTGTACTTGTAGGCACTTATAGCCAGGATTGATGTTCTAGCCATATCCAAGCTCCAGTATGCAAGTCCTACCTCAGACTAAACATAGAACAGATTTATCACCTACTCCCACAAAACAGCTCCCCAGTTTGTGCTAGGTTGGTTATATGCCCTAGAGCCCTCATTTTTTTCCAAAAATGGAAAAAGACACTTATCTTGGCAAAGATACTATCATTTCCTAGTATTAATCGTCTTTTTTGCTTTCCTAATCAGTCACCAAATCCTATGGTCTTCCTTTTGCTCAATTCCCCTCTCTTCCCTGATATAATGGTCCCTCTCACTAATTTACACAGGGTGAACAGATCATCTCTTCATTGCCCGCTCATTAATCCATACATCTACCACTCACATTCTAGATAATCTTCCCAAAGCACGATGTTTGGTTTGATTTTGCTCCCAATGTTATAACTCAGCTTGGAAAGCATAGTCTGCTACTCAAGAAACTGTGGAGTCTCCCTCCTAACTTATGAAAACAATTCCAAACTCCTGATCGAAAAGCTCACTTGCCTACCCAGCCTTCAGGCCCCTCAACCCAGCAGGTTCCTCTCTTCTGAAAAAGTCCCATGTCTTCTCTAGTATATATAATATTCAGGCCTCTTGCTGTCACTGCCCTGTCCAAATTCATACTCTCTTCAAGTAAAAGCCCTCCCTGCCTCTCCATTATTTTATTGTTTTCTTTGGACTGCCTAAAATCACATGTTCCCCTTAATGTCCCTGCTGCCTAGCCAAAATTTGTCTTTTCTAAATTTTTATAGCATCTCTCAGTCTCTTTGCTTATTTATGTACAATATTGTTTTCTAATTGCCACCACATGTGAATCTTAATGTTCTAATTAAATTTTAAATGGACCCAAAACAGCAGTTTTGTCTTCAAGGTCCTTGCTAGCTCTAACATACTCCAAGTCTACACTGTATTTGCTACAGCATTGCAGACCATTCCCATAATAAAAATGGGGTAATTTAGTGTATTGATGAGACTTGACTTCAACGTTGTCTGCATTCCTGACATCAACTGATATTTGTTGGCCCTTGAATATGAGTAGAAAGGGGCTTCCTTGTGGCTATTTCCTTTCTACAGTAAGGTGTCATTTGAAAGTATGACCTAATGAGATGTTTCCCCATTGGCAAAGATGGGTTGAATGTGTTCCAGAGGATCAATTTAAGGATAGATTTCAAGTATGTTAATTAATATGAAATGTTGGGTGTTAAAGTTTCTAGCTCTTGAGATCTCATGGTCTGATTTGTGGTTGTGTTTCTTAATGAGAATAAGTCAACTCATGATTAATTAGCTAATAGTTGGGTTTATAGAGTCATAGAGACCTCATACTTTATATATAAAACTCTTAAATTTTTAATAAGTTTTTGAAGTCAGTACTGCATCCTGCTTTCCAGGAAATGTACAGCCCTCCTCTTAAATAGCTTTAATTTCATAATATCAGTTATGTATCATTTTTAAGAGCAAAATCTACCTTAGTGTAAGTCAGCATTCTGAGCATGTCCCAATTCCTCCTGAAGCTAGCCCAGGACACTCAAAAGGAAGGTAGGTGGGTCTGGTGGCAAGGGTAGGTGGTGGAGTGGCTGGGGGTTGGCAGGGAGGTGGAGTTGTCGTTGAGAATTGGTCATAATGACTAATTCCTGCTAGGTGACTAAGAAAAGTAAAGGAAAGAAAGGAGAGATATGAATTTTTGCCAAACGGAGGATTAAACTGACCCCAGGGAGGAAGCAGTTAATTTTCTGTTAGGAGGGAGAGGCCAACTGCCTAGTGGTTTACAAATATGAGCTCTGAGACCAGGCTCTCTGGAATGGTACCTCCATTCTACCACTACTATCTCCATGACCCTGGGCTCAGTATTTCATTCCCACATTCATCCAATAGGAATAAGTGTAGGGCATAATCACCCGGAGGGGTAAATGACCTGAAATGTGTGAAGCTCTTGGAGTGGTCTAAGCAGTGGATAATGGAAAGAGAAAATGGAAAGAGAAGCAGGGAGCTTCTAGTCATTCCTCTGAGTGGAGATGGTGGAGAAAAGTGGGGCGTTTGGCAGGACATCATCACCGAGCACCAGCGTTGGCATGTGATAGATGAAGGCACAAGTCAACCACCACCCTCATTGTTTAAGTATCTGCCCCTACTCCCAGCCCCTCCACAAGCCACTTATTTTCTCTTCCCAGCTAGAGAAGGACCTCTGGAGAGGCAGTTTATTCCCTGTTAGTCACCCAGGGCATCTCTCAGCACTGGGAAGGCCTTGATGATCTCAGAGGGCAGTATGTGGCACTGAATGGGGAAGCCTCCAGAAGTTGGGCAGAAATTGGAGGCAGTGCTGCTGCCTCCACCATCCTCCTTGTGTGCTGTTTCTCCTCTTCTCCATTCACTTTGCTTCCACCAAGACTGTTCCTAGCCTCAGGGAATGCAACCTGGATTGGGTGGAGAGATGGGAGGAATGTTCTACTCTAATTTGGCTTGCAAAGTTAATATAGTTAGCTGAATTTTCTCCTTTTTTTTTAAAGATTTATTTATTTATTTATACAAGCACTGGGTATAGTCAGAAGCGAGGGAGGGTGAGAGAATTCACCAGAGCCAGAGCGGGGAGCAGAACAGGCAGAAGGACCGAAGTACACTATTGAGGGGAGCAGCGGGCATGGCAGGAGAGGTCTGCGTGCCATGTGGGACCCTCGCCCGGCGGCCAGCAATCGAACTGGCGCTGCAGAGGCTGTGAGCAGCTTCGCAACCCAGCGCCACTGGGGAGGCCCTGAATTTTCTCCTTTTTGAAAATAAACTTCCTTCTGAAACATTGTTAGAGGTGGCACCATGTAACTGGACTAACCAGGGGACATTCCGGGTGGGTCTCTCCCATTTTCCCCATCGCCCTTCACCAACAGAGACATGATTGTACCCTCCATTCTCCATAAAGTTACAAGCCCAAGGTAGCTCTGGCCTCATTATCCACAAGCTCTTATAATGACAGCAGTGATCTGATCTTAGGTCTTCGGGTCCAAGGAAAATAAATATTGAAGGACAGTCTGTGGGTCTAAACTCCAAGGCTCTGTGAAGAATGAGGAGATAAGGACCTATCGACGTTACAGCACTCAATTCTTTCTTTTTTAAGATTTATTTTTATTTATTTATGCATACAAGGACTGGGGTGTAGGTCAGAGATGTGGGGGGTGAGATGATTCACCAGAGACAGAGTGGGGAGCAGAACAGTATTTCTCCCATCCAAGTACTAACCAGGCCTGACCCTGCTTAGCTTCCGAGATCAGACGAGATTGGGCGTGTTCAGGGTGGTATAGCCGTAGACCAGAACAGTATTTCTACTGAAATACACTGCTGAAGGGAGCAGTGGGCAAGGCATAAGAGGTCTGCTGCACCATGTGGGTAAGCTTCCTGGTTGGGGATCCAACTCAGGTCGTCTCATTGACAACACTGACTTTTATTTTTTTATTATTTTTTTTTAAATAATAAATTTTATTTTTATATTCCCCATACAATTGCAGCCCCCCCCCCCATTAACTGGTCCAACCACTGTGGAGAGCTGTGTGGAGATTTCTGGACCTA